GAAAAGATTTCTTTTGATTCTGCGCAAACATTTGCCTTTGATGCCTTACATGATGTAGGCATGATTCTCTATCCAAACAGCGAATGAGATTTCAAATCCTACATAAACAAGAGATAGCCAAGCTGCTTAACTATTCTCGGTATGCAAGGCAATCCCCTTTTAAACGCTTTGTGTAAAACCAATAACAAAACAACATGTAATACTATTGAATGCCAGGATGGAAGCCCAAAAGCGATCCTGCATACAGGGCCCAATAAAAAGTTTGCCCGAAGCTTGTCCCCATTAATTATCAATCTAAAGAACAAAAAAGCTTCCATTTTGTATTCTACGAACTAGAAATGCATTAAAAGTTTTTATTGCGATTGTTTTTTCTTTTTTTTTTTTTCTACTCAGGATGAATCTTGATCGCTTCGTGAATTTTTCCTTTATCTAGCTAATGATCGAGACGTACCATGTAATTGCCATATCAATTTATTTCAAACTATCCTCGCGTTCATTTATAATTATAAAAGTGTATTAAAACATTTTCCCAAAGTCGAATTCTTAATATTAATTACTTTCGGGATGATGTAATAAAATAAAAAAAAAAAAAATAAAAAAATAAAAAATAGAAATTCTTGATTTTTCATGTGATCAGCACTATTCGGAAAGTTTACCATATATTAATATATGATCAAAAAATGTAATAAAATTCGCGATATCATAGGCAACGGAAATATTTGAATGTACGTTAGTGTAGCCATAGAATCAACGTGAATTGCTGCAAACTGCGCACGCGTCAACTTAAGCTGGATTACTTGAATATTTAATTTAATAAAGATTAATAGAACCGTAAAGTTCGCTTCTCTCTGTGCACACATGCACAACTAAACGCAAGTCTTTAAGTTATGCAGCTGTACATCATATATGTATTGTATATGAGAAAAATGATTATATAAAACAAATTTTTATGCAGTAAGTGCTCTATTACTTAACTAAACTTAGAATTGCAAACTATCCAACTAACATATAAATCGTATTTTATTGGAATTTTTTAATATATATTAAATACACTAAACTTTATTGTGTAACCCGTACAAATAAGTGAAGATAGTTAACAAAAAAAAAAAGAAAAAAGAAAAACCCAATCAAGAGACTATTCTCACTTTTAAAGCGAACATCGAATACACACATCTCAGCTAAGTTGAATACTAATTACAATCACTTCAAATTTTTAGTAATTTTGATCTTGCAAGTAAATAACGTCTAAAATATTATACTACATAGTGTGTTTGTCAAAAGTATTAAACCGTTTGTCTTCTTAACTTAAAGACTTAACTTTTGTTATGTTCATATATCATATTTTTTAAATATTCGTACTTTCATGTATTTCGTTTCTATAAATTCTTTATATTCAGTCGCGAAGAAAGAGGATGCGTTTCCTTTGTGAAAACTTTCGCAATATACAGAAGGAACCCCTATAGAGCATAATAGTGCGAGTAAGTGAAGTGAGACTAATAATATTCAAGTTAAAATTCGTGGGTATGCCGAATATCAGAATTATTTTTTTTTTTTTTGCAGTTTGGCAGCACTGTCACAGACATCTGTGTCGAATTTCACATTGTAAACGTGTCATTAGGGTTTCAGGTGCGCTTCGTTTTCTACAACACAAAATGTTATTTTTGCCGATTTGTAGGATTTTCTTGAGCAAACAAGTATTTATATCGATCATGAAACGTACTATTACAGGAGGTGGGACTTGGACCTATGCATACGATCCAGAGATAAGCGATCAATCGAGTGAATACCGTCAATCAAGGTGATCTTAACAGTTTTCTTCAATTATCTTCGATGGTGTTGAGCAATTTGAATTTCTTCCCTCGGACCGAACTATTAACAAGACATATTAACATATGTCCAAGGATTGCTTTGAGGGCGGCGGAAAGGATTTCTAATCATAGATTTAAAAAATAAAGTTGGCCTTACTTTCTGGACATAGTACACAGTGTGTGCATAGTCGATATGGGCACATCTCTCCGTCGGTCTGCCTGTGTTCAACATACTCCCGTTCAAGTTTAGTAAACCTACTGGAAGTGTTGGTACACACGTTATTATTGGGCCAATTCGATCAAAAGATACGCCCAACGTACAGCGAACATCTTTGTTTAGAAAGACTACAACAGATACAATGTTAGTAGCAGAAGAGAAATAATAAAAAAAAGTTAAAAACTACCTCGCAAACATTTGCCAAACCTTGCGACTCCAAGAGCGGAACAGATGCAGAAACGTCGCCGATTATTATTGGCAATATATTGCGGTGCCACACTGACGCAAACCAACTTTCTTCACTTGGAAATGCTTTGGAGAGTACCATGTATAGAAGGTGTTGACAAATTAAGATGAAGATCAAGCCCAGCGATTCAACTGAGCAAACTATAATATGTCGGTTTCATCCCAGCAATTATTAGAGAAAGAGATGCTAAACAAGAACAAGACCGACGTTCAAAGCTCTAAATGAGTGAATTCCCTGAAATAAATTTAGATTTTAAAGGTAATTAGAAGGATTTATGCTGTTCTTCTGGAATTCGCTTAGTAATTCTATAATGCTTCACACGAAAATGGAAGAGTAACATTTCCGTCTGTGACTGACGCAGAGAAGTAAATCTTCCAACAACTTTACCTATCTTTTTTATTGCTTTTATTACAGTAAATTACTCATTGCATTTATTATTACTATGCTAATTTCTCACCAATTTTTTACGTCTTTATCTCATTTTGTCGATGAAAATCGAGTTTTGCTTCAGTTAAAACCACGTTTACGGCATTGAACTTGAATTAGTTGTAGTTATTTTCTTTTCTTTTGTAAATCCTTGCAAGCAATTTTTTTTAAGACGAGTACAAAAAAATTTCTTTTAAGGTGTGGAACTGGTAAACCTTATCAGTTAATTGTAGTGGATTGGCTTGATACAAGAAAAAGTTAACATTTCGAGTATTTTTGCAAATAGATGACTGAATTTAGGTTGGCATCCTTTTCGACCGCGATCGTTTCGTCTCTATACCAGGTATAAATATTTGTGAGTAATACTTATGGGTTGCCTTTGAGAAAACTTGAAAACTTTGGGTATTCTTCTGTTTTGGTTTTTGAGTCGATCTATTTGACTATGCATCTATGCGATAATCTTTATTTTGATTCTTTTTTACCTATATTGACGGATTGATTACAAAAAGTCAAGACGTCATGTATAATAAAAAGACCATATTTTTCTTCTTCTGTGTTTATATTAATTTCTTTAGCATATGAATCTGTTCATTGCGTTCACATACATACATACATACATACATACATACATACATACACATATAGTATCAATAATAAATGCGATAATTGCGGTATAAAAATTCGGAAATTCATATATATGTATAGCTATGACTCCCTCTTTCATATATCTTGCAATTGCATTATATTCGACATGAAGGTACGTGAAGCGACATAAAGAAGAAGAAGAAGAAATCAAGGTTTTAATTACATAAAAATATTTTAAGAGAAAAAAGTAAAAGAAAAAGCAATTACACTCGGCACAAACCGATTATGTGGATGCCCTAATGCTAGATACCCTACTGCAAAGGTAAATGCAAGCACACTAACCTGCCACTAAGGTATAGTGGAAATTTTTGACGAAGCGAGTACAGCTTTCGAAACTCCTCTTATATAATCGTTTATAGAAAAAATCAATTTTTATATGATAAGAATAAGTAATTTTTTGGTATTTTGCAATGAAATTCAGCTCAGCACAGCGATCTGTGCTGCATACCGATCACATTGCTCTATTTTTCGAACTCACATATACACGTTATATAGCAACACTTAAATTTGCCTGTCATATTGAAATTCTTCACAGCACTCTTAACATGTTGAAATATTAATAAGCAACGATTTCGGATGAAAAATTTAAAAAAAGCGGCAGCTGTCTCTCAGGCGAAAGCTTTCTCAAAATAAGGTGTTAACTGGGAATTGATAGTAAAAATGATTCTGATTTCATTCGTTTCATAGGATTCGTTTGAGGAATAAAACCCGTTAGCGTATCAAGTTCCATGAAAATATCTTGAAAATTACGAACTGTAGCTTGAGCATAAAACTGTATGGAGAGTTATCGGTCAAGACTAAATCGGCTTGGATAATGATATGGTATAAACCGTTATAATAAAAAATGGGCCAATCTGAAGTCCTGCTCAATGTTACATTCAGACATGTAATGTACTTATTTTTATCTGCAAGCCAAGCGCTATAGGGTATAAAAACGGTAAATACTTTTGTTATTTGTATTATTTAAGCTCGTCTGCCCGTCTGCCCGTCTGCCCATCTGCCCATCTACCTGCACAATTGTATTCAACCAACAGGAATATAGGACACTTGCATTTTTTAGCCCAGGAACAAACCATATTGAAAATGGATTTGATCCGGCCGGTTTTTGCTACCCCCAGCGCTTAACGCCAGCGGTTTGAAACGACAAAATATTGCATTTTTCAAAAATCGAGTAACGTATACTATTCGACATACTTTAATTGATTTAAGACATTTGACATTTCTTCCCTACGAAAACTAAACCTCCACATGACAGAAAGGTTTAATTTTCGATATTTCGTAGTTAAAGCCTTTTAAAAATAGCAATTTAACGTTATGTTATGCATGTATCGTATTTGTTCCAAGTTGATCTATTTTTTTTTCAACACTATCCCCTATAAAGGTTCCCATGAAGATTAAGTCTCTATATAGCAACAACATCTAACATTAAGTATTTTATGAGGGAAATAGATGCGGAACTTAAATTTTACTAAATTAGGTCCGCATAAGTCCTTGTTTTAAGCCCGCATCTCTATTAGGGGACAAAGGGATGTGGTATGGGATTTTTAATTTTTGACCTTACCATCACTATCATGTTTTCATTTATTTCAATTTATTAAAATTCGTCCTGATAGCAGAAAAATGAAAAAAATAAATATATATTAATGAACTTACTTACCATTTGCGTATGTCTTCCCCTCTATGTTGGTTTCGATGATATAAGTTGTAGGCTGAAAACACCTTTTTATAATGATTTTTTTTTTTAAATTATCACAATTTAATTTTACGTTTTTACAAAATAATTGTAGAAACGCCGATTGTAGTAAGACTTTCCAAAGAAATCAATTCATTGAAACTCGTGACTTAACGTCATGTACATTAATGGAATTGACATTAAATACAACGCACGTTGTATGTGCAAAATGTTAAGCAATAAATTTTTAATTATGAAACACACTAAAGCAGTCAAAACAGCATAAATTCAATAACACTTTAGTAATTAGATTATGTTGACATAACTTTGTTAAAAAAAAAAAAAAAATCAATAAATAAATCAATAAATAAATAAATAAGTAAATAAAATCAAATTTCATAAAAACTTCTGAAGCCATATAAGACATAGTTTCGTGAGTACGTGTGTTTAATTACCCCTATTGATATTTTGACACTAATGAAATTTTAGACATTTCTAGTATATCTTATATCATGAAATTAGAGTATATACAGCTTTTAATGCCAACTTTGAAAATTAAATTTTTTTTTTTTTTTTTTTTTTTAATTAAAATAAATCTAATTTAATTGAAAGGAGTTCTATGCGAACTACACACACACACACACACACACACACAAACACATAATGGAAGATCTACGAGCCTAGAAGCTTAAATTTGTGATGTAATAAACTTTGTACAGTCTGTCGCGGCCGGACGAAATCCGCTCACGTAATCATGTTCTCTGCTTATGCATCATCTTAATGGAGAGGGGAAGACAATAAAAACAGCAAACATGCACAATATTTTTGTTGATAGGGTTGAAAACCTCATATGCTACACCACTACTACTACTACTAGGAGAAAAAGGAGAACAATAAAAAACCTTTCACTTACAGGGATAGATGATGGGATATTTCTCACTTTCCTCCACTTGTAACAATTCCCCAAAAAAGTTCTATGGTATAATATGGTCTACAACTGACCTGATCATTGCTATCACGATCTCTTTACAAAGATTTTTTTCAAAACCTATTCTCCACTTTGAACTTCACTAGCGACGAAAAGACGAGTCTAAATTGAAAGTAATCGGCGTAAGACACTAATTGGGTAATCATTTTTGATAAAATGAACCGAACGTTGAAAGACTTCCCGAATCCATTAAAGCAATTATTAATTGCGAAATTCGCTCAAGTTCAAGGTCGCCTAACCTAAGCGTTATACATAAGAAGCACATAAAAAGTAACTTGGAATTATATATAAATATTTTTAAGAATCTTATATCTCTCTTTTCCATATATAAGATTATACATATATGTAAGTGTGATTTTGCAAAGTGACAATCACTTTTAGATATTTCAAGATGCCTGGATTTTATTTAATAGATTCAGACAGATGATTACTATGCTATATACGTTTTGAAAGTTTTCTGGAGAATCTATCTATGGATAAGCGAGTAAATACATTTTGCTTTGCAACCTACCGTTAAAGTTTTTATGAAAATGATAAATTAATTTAAACATTTTGTTAAATGAATGCATAAAATATCAGCTCATATTTTCGAAGGTATTTTACATATAAACATTTTGTATAAATTTTTTATAGTTGACCTCATTCTATGCATTTTCTTCCATTTATAAGTATAGGTAAAGCTATAGTTAAAGAAGGAGTACAGTAATTTTATGAATATAATTGAGCAAAATGTTTTTTTTTTTTTTTTTTTTGAAAAATATTTTATAAAATTTTAATCAATTAATTGGAAAAATTCAATTCAAAATAAATTATCTAAAAAGAATTTCTCTTTCCTTTTTCAATTTAACTTTATTTAATTTGTTAATATGACTTCATTTCTTTACCAACTAATTGATTTAATTGCACTTTTAACGGCGCAGTCTGCACGTTTTTTCGTATTTTGTTTTGTTTTGGCTAACACAGTAAATACATTTATTAGCTTGAATTGTATGCAATAATAATAACAACAAATAATAGATTACGAATCCAAAAAATAGATAAAGAAAAAAAAAAATAAATAAATAAATAAATAAAGCGTACCGAGCACAAATACTTCATATAAATCGAATTTTGGATAAACCACCCAACCATACCTTGCGTTAGTTAGGCTAAGAAATTTGCTGCAAGAAAAATTTATTTATTTATTTTTTCTTTAACCGGTTTTAAAACCTTTTCCTAAGCATCCTCGCAAGGGGGAATATTCTGTCATACAATGTATTGAAGTTCCCCTCAATGCCTTCATCTAAAAATATTACTTAGCGATTAAATCCGACACAATATCGGCCAAGAAATTTCAATTTTTAAGCGCCACATCTAAAAAGATAAATTTACCTAAAAAGAAGAAGAAGAGCGAAATTGTATTCAACTCGGCTCATTCGAGCTGATTACCTTATATAGATCGTAAACGGTTCGCTAGCTGGGTACAGTATTCCGTTTCGTACACATTTAACATCACTTATCTTTCAAATCGTGTTTTTGTGCACAACAACAGGTCCATAGATAGTAACTGAATCAATTCGCTTTAAAGGCTTCAACTATAACTTTTTAATTAAAAATTTGGAGGTAATGAAAAGAGTATTGAACCTACAAAATCTATATATAATTAATGATCTAACTGAGTAGCAAGCTCGCAGCCGAATACGATGGAAACGATGCAAGCAAGCAAAAGCTTGATAAATTCTTCTAAAACCACTAGGGTGTTATACACAAAGGCATCTTGGCGGATCGTAACGTGACATGTTTAAATTATACATCTTAATTTGAGAATAAGATCGAAAGTGTAGGACTGTTAGGAAAAATAGGTTGAATGGAATATAACTCCAAGATTTTTACGAAGAATCCTTTATAAGTTAAAGTTAAGCACATCAATGAATTGGCATTGCCTAAATTTTATGGTAAACAAAGCTCCTTGAAGAACGAATGGAAACTTTGAAGTTTATATCATTTAGCAAAACTGATGAGCCAATAACCATATTTTTTAACTTTACTTTAAATGCCTAAGAGAAGCCAACGCTTCTCAACTAAAGGTAAACTGCAGCATGGCCAGCAACTTGTTTATGTACATAAGCAGGCGAACAAATAGATCCTACTCCGGATTTCATAGTGCAGACAGCAAGAATTATTTTTTTAAAGATTCAACTGATTCAACAAGGTGACCGACCATACCACCCGGATATAATGAGATGAAAATTTCATTATGCAAAGTGCAAAAAGTGATTTGTACTTTCAAAAGATACGTACGTAAACTAAACAGTGAAATAAAATTAAAATATACAAAAAAAAAAAAAATAAATAAATAAATAAATAAATAAATATATATTAATCCATATTGATTGGTTATAAATCATTAGACGAATTTTTGACAGATGAAAATTCATTCAAATCGGTTCGACGATTTCAACTCATTCGATAATAATGATTGAATATAATGTTGAAGTAATGCGAACCGAAGGAATAAAAATTGTACTTAAAATCGTAGTGGATGCATAAAATTCATCGCAAACCAAATATAAATTTCCTCCTTTTTAAGTGGCAAGCTTGGCAATAAATACCTTTAGTGGTTTGCTTGCCTTTTATTGTATGAATTAAAATTCAGTGCGTTTAATATGCGCAACTATCGCCGCATGTGAATGTTTAATGATATGTATGTAGGCAGAGTGTAACGTAGAGTACGTGATGAGAACAAAGGACTTAAGTAAGAAACTTTCCTATGCCGTTTTAAAACACAAAACACACAAACAATGACATATTTATTTTATTAGACTTCAGAGTCAAACATCTTATATTTATCGAGACTTCATTGATATCATCTATTCAGTGTTTGCCCAAGTAGTAGTTTTTTTCACTTAATATTTAAAATAAGGAAACGATAGTCGCCAATTTAATTACGCAGCGATTACAGCGATTAACTACAGGGCATAGTTGACATTCGAAAATGATTATAATGCAATGCAATATCTGTGGCCTTTTTTTTTTTTTTTTTTTTTTTTTGAAACAAAACGATAAGCAAATAAAAACAATTAACCTTGAAATAATCGATATTACAACGTTTACTTTACAACACACGTACGAACAACAAAACACGCGTACGCGCATGAACCATATACACTGATTGAATATATAAAGTTTCATCTCGTATTTATCACAAAAAAAAAAAAATGATCTTGAAATTTAACGAATATGCTTACGGTTTTTTTCCTTTTCATGTTCAATTTGAGGTCAACAAAGTTTTCTATTATAACATGAAAAAATTGCAGGGATCGGGCTTGCAAGCAAATAGAAAGCATATCTATGAAGGCCGTAAAACAAATGCGGTAACGATTTGACATTTAAAAACATATAATGATCTGTGAAAGTAACAGCTAAGCTTACATTGGAGATAAGGTCAAACGTGCAACCCGCACACTCGCTCAATCACTTATCTAATTGTTATCAAAATTATCTCAATTTCAATAAAATGTTTTCCAATAAGCCCAGTTTTGCGAATTCTCAAGTGTTTCACTTAAGGTTACAGAAAACATTTATCTTAAGGTTTTTGAACAAAATTATCTACAACAGTTTACATACATTTCACAATGTTTAAGGAAAAACATTTCTTTTTATTTATTTTTTTTTTTTTTACATTTCATATGACTTTCAATTTTGACTTTGAACTAATAAAGTTACATTCAATTTGCCTTACGGTAAATATACGAAAGCATATCGCGAAATATTTAAATTAAATATATGTACTAGAAAGTCCTGCTATCTCTTAAACAATGATTGTTAAGTGAGTATACCAGTTTCAATATAACCGCATGGGTTGGATATCTGTTCCGTCTAAAAAGACAGCTTTGAGTTAAGCTGCTACAGATATTTCCAAATTTGAAGAAAGTAATGATGTCAATAAGACCCGAGCGGTATTCGATTCGGGTTCTTTGATTTTGTTTTGTGATTATTTTTTGGATAGAATAAAATAAACTTTAAGTCCGGTACAAAACTTTGAATAAAACTTATATTTACCATTACGATCTTGAACTGTGAGGAACAGATTGCACACATTGAATATAGCCCGAGTACTTGATTGCGCACAAACAATGCGACTTAAAGAAAACATTTTGGCATTTGCAACCTAGCAAGAAAATTATTATCGACTGTAACTTTTCGATGCATTCATTGCATACAAACGATATTTGAGAGGAAGAGAAATAACTCATTGACGAAAAAAATGAATCCTTCATCAAGACCTTGTAGTAAAGGTTTTTTCGCGTAGCAAAATTGCTGCAGTCAGTCAGCACGACGAATTGCAGAAGATTGAAGAAACTATCGTTTTCACTAGATTTGGTCTTCTCTGACTTCTGCCTCTCGCGAACATGAGGTAATTTCTAGATGCAAGCGTTTTCACGCTATATATGAAAGGAATGTATTCACCTTACTTACAGAAACTCGAATGAAAAATAAATTAAATGAATTGAAAAACGTTTTGGACTTAAGACAGAACATACAAAAGAATAAAAGTATTTTTTTTTTTTTTTTTTCGTCTACATTCATCAATGATTCCGAACTCGGCGAACTTTTTAATTAATAGCTTTGTGTACTATTAACGTAAAACTTGCACACCGACCATCACGACATTGGAGGAATTTTAGTTAAATCTATGCTATGAGTTAATAGGTATGACATGAGCAAATTTTTATATGAAATTTTTCCACATATACTTCATAGTTGATTGCGTAAATTAAAATCGGAAGTAGTGAGAATCTATCAGTAACAGAGGTCTTCAGAATAAACGAAAAGGGCAAAAAAAAAAAAACAAGCCTTCACTGGATAAATACGTACGAAACTACAAATATGGCAAGTAAGCAATTATGTTCGGCAGCGACCGGGTCATTTATACCCATCGACAAATACTGATTCGTTTGCTGCAAATTTTTTCCACTTTTGTACTTTCAGTCTTTGTGCCAAGACGTACATAGAGAAAAGCTCGAACGAATAGGTGGACATGATTAAATTGATTTAGAATTTGGTCTCTGAGACGTCCTTTTCGGTGTTGCAAACACATAACCCTCATCCGTCGATGATGGATATAGCTTATGAAGACATTTAATTATTTAATATTCGAGCAGACGATTTAAATATGATTACTGGTCGGTTCTGCAAAGGCAATCTAATAACTAACTAATTTTTTTTTACGTTCTACCAGTAAATAAGAAAACTTTCAATTAAGAAAATCGGCTCATAACTCTTTGGAAGATATTCAGGCAAAAATCATTTGCCGCCACTACACAAACAACGACATAAAACTTGATATGTTTTTATGTTTCTTTTTATTTTTTATTTTTTTTTGTTTTTTTTTTTTTATAAACATATTAAGGATTTTAATATTTTATAATTTTGTGTGGATATTGAAATAATTGTTTTATTCGATCCGCAAAACGTTTTGTTTTTAATTCAATTTTTTTTATTCGGCTCATAAATCAATGGTTTTTTTTTTTAAAGTTTCTTTGCAATTTTGATTTTCTTATATTTTCAATACTTAATTTCTTTTTATTTGGATTTTTACATAAAATATATTACATTTATCGTAAGTATATTGTGTAGTAGATGCACTTGTTTTTCGTTGCAAGTTCTTTTGACTTCTTCCAACAAAAAATTAAAAGAAGACTATAATTATATGATTATAAAGCGCGATAAAAAAAAAAGCAACCAATCGCTACAAAACACTTCGAAGATACGAGCAAAACTGAATTTACTAAATGAAAACATTTTCACTTAAAGTCTTTTATTATACCTTTTTTTTTTATCTTTCTCGTTCTACCGATGACGAACAGCGCAAAGCACACAAAATCAAAGCAGAAGAGATGTAAACAAAAAACAAAAACCGGGTTTGAGAATACAAAAAACAAAAGAAAAAACAAAAAAAACAAAAAAACAAAAATTATCGTTAGATACGGGGAATCGTTGTAAAACGCCGTATAATGTTGCGAATACTCGTGCAACTCGCGTAGTAAAATACCGTAAAACCGTCCCAAAGCATGTATATGAAGCGGAACATTGTAAAATGCCGAAAGCCTTCATAATAATTGATTGTGCATTTGTTTTTGCTGTTATTAAGAGAGTAATATCGCAAAAGACAACTAAATAACACGATGGTCCAAAACATTTTCTTTAAAATCCAACCTAGGAGATTATTACGGACTTTTTATCTTTCTGCTATCATTAACAGTAGTAGCGCTGTTACTTAACAGCAATTCGACTCTTGGCTGCTCTTTCATTCTCATTATTTGCATGAGGAAAGATACTCTTAATAGTTTTTTTTTTTTTTGTGGTGTCATCGAATTCTGAGTATGAGTGTGAAGTGAGTGTGTGCGATAGCGTATATGTAAGTGGGTTTGTACGAAAAAAATCCAACAGTATATGTGTATGTAGCAAAATTGTTGGCTTTTCATAGTTTGTACACAAAACTTTTTAATATGCTCTTTTTTACACGATTTTGAAGCAACACGGTATTCGAATTTTGGCAATGCCTTATAGAAACTTACCCATACCGCAACAGTCGACGAGGAATTTCAGCTAGTAATTCCTGATTTAATTCGCGAGATCTTGAAAATGCACTTTTTTTACACTAATATTTTGTTCAACTATGAATCCAGAAAAAAAAAAAAAAATTCTTTTTTAATTTTAATTCAGACAGTGTTCCATCGAAACTTGGTTATCAAGACTTATATAAGCACCTCGATAAACCAAGAAAAAAAAAGGAAGAGAAAAGATACTTTTACCAATAGACTTTACAACAACAAAAAACTAATCGAGGACGCAAATCCAATAACTGCGCCGCACATATCTACCGATAATAACGTTTTTGATCCCGTTCGTAACAATCGTGCAAGCTTGTTATCAAGTAGGTACAAATAGTTGCAAAATTGACTTTTATTCCTAATTTAAATTTCAGTTTGTATGAATATGTTGTATGTACTTATGGACTATATTTTCACTGTACACTAAATTTGTTTTGGAAATATGGTTTTCGTTATTATTTGTTTGTTTTTTTTTTTTGCCCGATTTTTTGTAAGAATATTTAGAGTTTTCTTGTCTTGCCCGATTTTTTAAAATTGTGGAACATATCCTCAAATTTACCACAAGTCGCTTGTACTTTTTTTACACGATATTTTGTGTACGGGTTTCCAAGGAACGCATCTATCGTGCACACAGTTGGGTGTACTTTGACGAATTGAAAAAATTATTGATATATATATATGAGTATATATATATATATATGAGTATATTATTATGTCGTAAGAATGATTTATCTTTATCTAATATGTTCATTAAATATTATTTATATATTTCTTAATTTTAATTTTATTTGACATATTTCTGCATATTTGGCAGATTTGACTAATTGTATTGTACAATATATTCTAGAACATGGTAAAATGCTTCAGATTATTCTACAATAGCCTACAATATTAGGGAATTTCTTGACAATTCTTCATAGCATATTTTCGTTCACTTGGAAGTGGCCGTAAAACGGGTTATTTTTCAATCCATTTTTAATTACGTTCGTCGATGGGCGAAAACATGTCATCTTAAAAATGGAATCCTATAAGTAGCAAGTAAAGTATACGTGGACACACAGATAGCCAAGCTTAAATCGATCCAATAAAATAATTCTAAATTGATCGGTATAATTAAAAGCGGACGAATGTTAAGCCATTTACGGTATGACATATGTCCGCTCAAACTTAGTATAGCATGTACCACAAGCGGTGTGGGTTATAAAAATTGATTTCCTGAAAAATCGACGCCTTAACGTTGCATAGCTGACTTTAGAAGAAACTTTTCCGCCCAAAAATCCTGGTAGTGATGGAATATCGGATTCACCAAAAAAAAGTTTTTCAATCAAAATTACACATATTTAATGAAATTGAATTAAAAATATAGCCAAGGTTGATGATTACATAAATTAAGTTTGAAATTTAAAATAACTACATTCTTTATTAGAAAACACAGATCAAGATGATCTTGATTGGTGTAATTAACGAAAAACTCAATCGTTGTTTACTTTGAAAGAAACGATGAGCATTACGAAACGAATCCCTCGAACTATAAATTACAAGTTGTCGACGATCAATCACCTTTACAAGCGGAGTGAGCTGTCAGAGATTGTCATCGGTCAGGGAATTCCACAAAAAAAAAAATGAAAAATAAACAGCCACACATGAAACTGATTTCAAATGCATTCATGAAATACGAAAATATATTGTACACGTCGAAGACAATGGCATACAATGGGAATTTCTTAATCACATTGTTTTTGCCGAACTAAATTAATTGATTTTAATAAACCGCTCCTCACGACTGCTAAGCGAAAAGAAAAATCACGAAAAATAATATAAATAATAAAAGACAAACGAGCAAAATAAGATTAAATTGCTGACATTGTTCACATTCGCTTAAGATATAATATATAACGTCGTATTATGATAAGACCCGAATATGGACGGTTACGTACGAGAAGTTGTGAATTGAAAATGCGAAAGACGAGACGCTAGCAATTTGAGCCTTCCCGCTATAGCGTAACTAGAACGAATATCGCTAGAAGGAAGATTCATCTTGATTGTCGACGTGGGAGCCATCCCGCACCGTGACAGTTGACAATTTTCCAATGGTAATAGTGTCACTTCGAAAGTTACGCAATCCTTCATTATACAATGATGAGGTTGAGGCAGTAAAGCTAAAAATGCTGTTTGGTTTCTTAGCTATGCGTTAACTGTTGCTTTCTAACTCAAAGCCGTTATCTGAAAGCTGGAAACATACGTACATCGTAACTTTTCCCATATAACATAGCAATTTCAATTTCGAGCTATTTCATGATCGCGCCAAAGTTAAACTTAGCTTCTTATTGCATTGATCGTCGACCGAACTTGTTATAGATGCTAGGCATTAAAATCTGTCATGGCTACCTAGCCAAGCTATTACTAGACTCTATTCTTCTATAAAGCGAGTACTTTT